ATGTTGCAGAAACCCAAGGAGAGCGGACTGAAAGAATGGGATGGACAGAAGTTGGCTTTTCCAGAAAAGGGGTCCTTGCCCTCCTCTCCCTCTCCCTCTCTCTCTCTCTCTCTCTCTCTCTCTCTCTCTCTCTCTCCCTCCCTCCCTCTCTCTCTGTCTCTCCCTCCCTCTCTCCCCCCTCTCCCCCCTCTCTCTCCCTCCCCCCCTCTCTCTCTCCCCTCTCCCTCCCTCCCTCTCTCTCCCTCCCTCTCTCTCCCTCCTCCCTCTCTCCCCTCTCCCTCCCTCTCTCTCCCTCTCTCTCCCTCTCTCTCTCCCTCTCTCTCTCTCTCCCTCTCTCCCTCTCTCCCCCCCTTCCTCTCTCCCCCTCTCCCTCTCTCCCCCCTCTCTCTCCTCTCTCTCTCCCTCTCCCTCCCTCTCTCTCTCTCTCTCTCCCCTCTCCCTCTCTCCCCCTCTCTCCTTCTCTCTCCCTCTCCTCTCCCTCTCCTCTCTCTCTCTCTCTCTCTCTCTCTCTCTGTCTCCCTCTCTCCCCCTCCCTCTCCCTCTCTCTCTCTCTCTCTCTCTCTCTCTCTCTCTCTCTCTCTCTCTCTCTGTAAAAAAATTCCATCCGTATTTCTCCACCCCAGAAAGGCGGTCTGAACGTTATGCCGTCCCATGGTCCAGAAGGCGCAGATAAGAGAAATTCACCTGACCTTCCGGGGAATGTTTTAGTCTGTTTTACTCGTGCAGAACAGGGTTGTAATTCAATTCGCAGCTTTTAAAACTCGGGGGGGGGGGGGGGTTAAATCACCCTGAAGTTTGCCCCTGCCTGGCAGCCTTGGAACTCGAGTTTTTCAGAGCCATCCCTCCCTGGAGGGTTGCAGCCAAGCGCTCCACACTGGGAAAGGAAAAAGATCCCCCCTCTCCCCCAGAACAGAAATGGTCGGGTGTCCACCCTCTCTCCAATTAGCCCGTTAAGAGAAAGCTTCCAGCAAGCGTGGGTCATTTGGCCTTTCCTGCAAATTAATGTGTTTGGTGCTGGACAACACATCATATGAAATTAGTAGTGTGCGATGGAAATTGCTGAAGCGCTGGGTCTGTAATTAAATGAAACCCGGCCTCCCTTAAACCAATGGGGGGGGGGAGAACTGACCTAAGAGCCACCGACGTCCCTAGGAACTACGTTCATCTCCCTTAATATGAATTCGACCCAAAAGCTACGTTCACAGGACTTGCTGTGCCACGATATGACACCCACTTCCTTATTATTATTTAGAGACGCTTCAATGAATCTCGCCATTGTGGTTGATGAGTCATAATTTATGGCATAGCTTCTTGTGGAATAAATGTGTCAACTGTGATTTATTCACTAAACCACAGTTAAAGAAACCTTGGCTTAATATGATGTGGGAACCCAACCTCCAAAGGCGAAAGACAACAATTGTGGGCTATCCAAGCAGCCGTGAAGTTACGGTGGATTTTTTTTCTTTAAAAAACGCATTTTACCAACGGGCCTTGTAGGCTGTTTTCTTTAGGTCCCCAAAATAGATATTTTTGTAGGTCATCGTCCGAAACAGGGTTTTGGGGTTTTTTTGGGGGGGAAGTATAAATAACATGATAACCCATGGTTATATCTCCAATACCTACTCTAATCAACAGCCCCGTCTTCGGGGGAACGGGGCAGGGGGGTGGGCAGAAAGCCTGATCCCGATGCCCTCTTCGTGGCTTTTCCATACCGGCGATTTAGAGCGCTCTACAGGGGCGACAGAGGCGCCCCATCCCACAGCGGCGGCTGGCGAGTTCTGCCAGAGGCTCGGTCCACTTTGGGTGGCCGAAGGAGCCCAGAGATGCGCCCCAGCCGCCTTTCTCAGATGAGAACTGCGGGGGCTCCTGCAAGGCAGGGAACTGCAAAGACCGCGAGGTTGGCTTATTACGTTCACCCTCCCTGTCATGGTCGGCCTTCCCGGCGATGCTAGCGCAAGGCGGCGGCAGCAGCGGCGGCGGCGGCGGCGGCAGCCCAAGCCCGGGAGAGAAGGAAAGGGAAGGCGGCTTGGCGTGGGTTGGAGAGGCGTGCGCCGCGCTGTGCTGCGCCCCGGCCGGGTGTGAACCCCAGGGCTTTCTCTCCCCCCCCCCACCGCCCTCCACGTTGAGTGGAACGCGAGGCCAGCACGGAGTGGCCAGAACTTGGGTGGGGGGGTGGGATGGGATGAGCCCCCCCCGTCGCCCCCGCGAACAGCTCGAGGAATCTGCAAGCAGCCCTCTAGAGAGGGCTGGAAGGCCAGGCCGGAGGCAAACGCTTCGGGCTGGAGACCCCCCAAGCGAGTCCACACACCCACAGCCCGGCCGCCCCCGCCAGCAGTGCGGAAAAACCAAAGCCGAGAGGAGGATCTGTCCTGAACTAGCCAGACAGAGCCGGCTCTTCTCCTGAAGCCGTCGGTCCTCAGGCCGAGCGCTTGGCGACCGAGAGGCCAAGGCGGCTTTGGCGTTGGCTCGCCGCTACCTAAATATCCCAAAAGTTCGTGGCAAAGCTCCCGTCGAGGGCTTTGAGGGGTGGGGTGGGGGTGGGGAATGCCGGAGTGGCCAGGGAAACGCGAAAGCAGACCTAAAATGGCAGGGAGGTGGTTTGAGAGGAAACTCCGCGGGGATCTAGGAATGGGAGCGTTGTTTATGAACCTGGCAGATCCCATTTACTTCGACGGGTTGGGTCGCGTGGTTGTCACCAGATTGATAGAACTGAAAAGTGTCCCTTAAGGCAGTGTTTCCCAAACTTGACAATTTTAAGGCATGTGGACTTCAACTCCCAGAATTCCACAGCCAGCAACGCTGGCTGTGGAATTCTGGGAATTGAAGTCCACATGCCTTAAAATTGTCAAGTTTGGGAAACACTGCCTTAAGCGAAAGGTTCTCAATGACCCAGATGAGATTTAAGAAGAAAATCTGACGGCTCTTCACTAAGGCCAATACTATTAACGGAGGAGGCACCTTACTCAGTTGTTTATAGTGACACCTAAAACAACGCCTGGTGGTGTTTTTTTTTTAAATAAACAAAACAGTAGAATATTTGAAAAAATATTCCAGTTGGACTTGGAGAAGCCAAGGGATTGTGGTTAAAGCGCCGGGGCCTGAAGTCTCGATTTCCCCGTCCAAAGACACCAGGCAGAGATCCATGAAAACAAATTCTTCTCAACCTATCGTACTATTATATTTCCTCTCTCCGAGCTCAGAACTGCGGGGGAAATTTCCCTGAGCCAGCATTTGCGGGCCACCAGAAAATTAGCAGAAGGCAAAGAGGAGATCCAGTCTGTGCTGTTCAAATGTTCGAATTGTTTTTCCCCCCTCCTAAAATTGGGAGAAGCATTAATAATTCTTTATTAGTTTCCCCCCCCGTCCCCCCCCCCCAAAAAATACCGTGAAGCTTTTCAAACAGGAAGGCCCGGAGGAACGTTGTCCATGGAGTCTCGATGGGTCGGACCCGACTTCGCAACTAACAATAACATACCCCCTTTTACTTCCTGGCACTTAGAAGCTCTTGTTGTTGTTATTGTTAATTGCGAAGTCGTGTCCGACCCATCGCGACCCAATGGACAACGTTCCTCCAGGTCTTCCTGTCCTCTACCATTTTCTGGAGTCCATTTAAGTTATATTCTCTAATGCAGATTATAAATGTGCACGTCTAACTCAAAAATCGGTCGCATGAAATTTACTCAAAGGCTCTCCAAAGTAAAGTCCTATTGACCGGGACGAGAAAAAAAAAATACTTCGGAATAAATGTGGAAGGACTGACTGACTTATTCGAAATCTGAGTTCAGTGCGATCCCTGGAAGAGTTGCATTTTTTGCTTGCTTCTTCGGAAACAGGTCCTACGGACTTTAGTAAATGCGTTTAGGATTGCACTCTACATGAGTCACGTAGTTGAACAAGGGGGAAGAGAAGGCCGACCTTGCACACATTCGCTGCAATTAAGGCCAATCAATCCCAGACGCGACATCCATCCTGAGCCTGGAGACTTCCACAGCAACCGGTTTTTCTATTTAGGACGTAGATGGATACAAATTGCTTTTCTGGCTAAAATTCGCCGGGAGGAACAGGCGAGTAAATGCTCGCTCCAGTAAGGCGGATTTCCATAGAAACCCTTCCCGAGTAAGCGATCTCCTCCTCTCCCCCCCCCACCCACTCCCCCATTCTGGTGAATTCAGTGAAGCGGACCTTGGAATGAACCACACCGTCTGGAGCGGGGGGGGGGAGAGGGCAATGCAGAGAGAGGGGGGGGGACTCAAACTGTCTTTGGGGAGAAGAGCCTCGCTCGGCTTTTTAGCTGGGAGGGGGGGGGGAGGAAGCGAGCGTCGAGGGCAGGAGAAGCCGAGGCGGAGCGGGCGCGGTCTCTTTAACGAATGCGCGAAGCCCACCCTCGGTCGCTCCGGCTCGCCGGGACGGAGAGCTCGCAGGAGGCGAAGGAGAGAGCTGGATGGCCGGGATCTTCTAATAGCCAGGAGGACGGGGAGGTTTTGAACTTTCCTAGGCGGGTGGGGGCGGGGAGGGAGGGAGGGAGGGAGGGAGGGAGGGAAGGAAGAAAGAGGGGGCGGAGCCTTGCTTCAACTTTCAGGCGTTCGTTCCAGGGCAGGTCACTTGAATCTCGGCCACCCCAAGCGGTTCGCCTGGTTTCCTCGCCCGCCCCCCCTCCTCCCTCCTGCGCGCTATCTAGAAGGGGGGCGCCGCTGCCTCTTTCCCCGGGAAATCGGACCGCTCGGAAGCTCGGCGGTGCCTGCCCTACAGCCAGCCAAGCCGAATCTTAGTGGATTAAAAGTAAACATTAAAACAAAAAAAAAAATCGAAGTAACGCAGCCTTCGGCGGAACCGTCCTCGGCGGCCTCTGGCTTTTCCGTTCGCTCTAGCTAGGTCTCCCTCTCTCCTAAGTTTGTATGAAAATCAAAGGTTGCAAGCCGAGAGCAGGCAGACTCCAAAGGGCCCGCGCGCAGGCTACGACTCAGCCTTCTTCTTCTTCTTGCTCATGGATTCCTTTAAAGGTGGGATGAATTTGGAAAGGCTCCCCGACAACCTGCGGACCCCTGGGGCGCCCCACGACATGGCTTCCGGCTTCCATTTGCAGAGGTCTTCCGAAGGCAGAGAACAGATCGAGAACTCGGCCAGCGAATCGTCGGACACCGAGGTCCCAGGTAACGCTCAGTTTGGGACGGGGGGCGGGGGGGGGGAGGTTTACGAGAAGCAAGCGGAAGGAGCCCCTGCCTTCCTCCAGCCCTACCCGGGAGGGCGCGATTCATCAGGCGAAGGGATCCGCATGTTTAGGGGCGCCTGAACGTGAGGACGAGGGGGGTGTCGAGATTAACCGTGCCCTCTCGGTTGCCACGGCATTTGCGCTCAAATTTCCCAGGCTAACTTGGCACTTTTATTCTTTGCTCCCCAAAATGGGCAGCCCTCGAGTTTCTTGGAGAGCCCTTCCGTTCGGGCTCCGGGTTTTCAAGCTCGCTGCAGCCCTGTTGGGTTTATTTTCCAGTCTGGACAGCGTAGACGTGTAAAAGGATCTCCCTGCAGGGCTGGGGGAAAAAAGAGATAGAGGAGAAAGGAAAGAAAGTTTCAGGCCCTGGCGAGGGAACGAGCAGACGTCTTATTCCGCCCGGCGTTGCTTTTAATCCAAGGTGTCTTTGTAGAGGAGAGGCATTTTTTTTTTTTAGGAGAGAGTTGTCTCAAAGGGCACCGGCGGCTGCTTCCCTCTGTCTTTAGTCGGCCCTATTTGCAGGTGAACGGGCGTAAATCGACAAGTCCAAAATAACGCTAGTTATGCTGTCCAACGTTGGCAACTCTTCCATACATACGTGGAAAAGCCTTTGCTCTGAAGAAGCGGTTCTCTTCGATTTCAGGGCAAGGGGGGGGGGTTGCAAAATGCCCCCCCCGTCCCGAAATGCAAGTGCACAGCAGCGCTCCTTGCTTGAGAAAGTTCCCCTGGGTGTCCCGCGGATCCAATCTTGGGAAAGTTAACTCCCTGGAAATGAGTAAGAGCAACGCCTCGATGACAGGCCGTAACCCCAGAGAGAATCCTTCACGCTTCTCCATTTCCAACAATTCTAAATTCCCAGCAACCTAAAACACCTAAGAAAGCAGCTTCTCCATTCCCAGCAATTCTAAATTCCCAGCAACCTAAAACACCTAAGAAAGCGTGGAGACAGCTCAGAGTCTAGAAAGGTGTTGGGAGGAGGGTGAGGAAATAGTAGGATATTTCTTTGGGAAAAGATTTAACTAGTAAATTAGTAGGCACACACAAGAGTAGAATCTAATTCTCAAACTCCAAATAATTTCTGCATTTTAATGTGACATCTGATCTTGTGGAAATTAATGGCGTATCTGAATAAATCTGGCTGAATTCACTAAAACTGAAATAAATTTAAGATGCAGTGCAGTCCTTCTAGTCACTCCCACTACTTATTGCTGAATTTAGGCTTGTGCTACCCTGGGACCAGCCCCTTTGTAAAGTTTACATATTCAGTGGCAGAAACAATTTCTCCAAGCATGGGAAGAAAGGGTGAAGAGACCAAGTCCCAAGATACACAATGCATTTTAGTAACACCAAGTAGGAAAAGTATAATAGGGAGCCACCGGTTATATTTAATATAAGGAATCAGATTAAGCAGGTGCTGGGAATTTGAACAATAATAAGGCAAGTCAAATTGCTCTGAAATAACACCTTTGCCTCTAGATTGTCTCAGAAATAAATTTTAGGCTTCTTAACAAACCCATCGATAAGTGAGGGAACACTAGTAGAAGCAGGCCCAGCAAAACCACAGTGCCTTCTCACCAAGTCAAGTCATCATATTTATTATTTTTTTTAAGCAGCTTTTCCGGGAGTGGTTTGCAAAGGGCAGGAACACCACAGCTGAGGGTCCTTGTAAGTTGAGGTCCCTTATGGTTGTGCCAAGCTCTAGCTCCTAATGGTGCAAAGGGCTCCAGCAAGCAGCACCTTCCCTGCTTAGGCCCACCAGAGCTTAGTTTTCACTCCTTGTCGTGGAAAACAGCGCAAAGGCCATCAAGCTGGCATGAGTGATAGTTCTGGAGCTGTGCTGAGGCCCGAGGGAGGGCAGCTTTTCAGAGGAGCAGGAGTGGAGGGAGACCACATTGGCAGAGAAGGTTTAATGTTCATTGCCCACCTTGAGAACTGATGGGGACATAAGGTCACTTGGGGCCTTGCCTTCAGTCTCCCCCACAACCCTCCCTGAGGTCCAGCCTTAGGAAAAACCTACATCACCAACCCGGTACCAAGCTGATCCCCCCTTTTCGATAGCCTTGCTAGGAAAAAAGGGTTGTGAGGGTTGTACCAGGCCTAGGTCAGGCCCTGGTGGGTAAGAAGGAGAAGGGGCCTAGCTTGAACAGGAACACAATTTCTTTAGGCAGCATCAAGGCCTTGCAGGCTTTGGGAACTGTTCCCTACCAAGCGTAGCTGTCCTATCTGAGCTGCATTGAAAGAAAGCTGCTTTGGGGGGAGGGGTTGTCCTGAACTATGTGTCCTTTGGGGGCTGCCACCTGGGCACCAACATGTCTCTGATCAGAGTCCTCTGGAAAGAGTATCAAATCCAGGCCTTTGAAAGGAGGGAGATTATAGCCGCAAGTATTTAGGTTTTCAGTGTACAGAAAAGTCTCCCAAGTTGATTCATACCATGAAGCTGCCTAATACCTTTATGAGATTATTTTTTTTCAAGTAGCAGCTTGCTGTACAGAGATCAATATGAGTTTAACCTTGCCGATGCCTGCACGTGTTCCTTGTCCACTTTTCTTTCTTTCAAGAGGCATAAATAATTTCTGCATTTTTATGTGGCATCTGATCTTGCCAAAATTAAGCCATTGAGCTCCTCGCTCTTTTCAATAAGAAAGGCAAAGCACTTTTGTAATCCGCTGAAATAAGGGGAACATAAAGGGCTTATTTTGGGGTGGGTCATGTCTACAGTTTGACTTTTCAATATAAAAAGGTCTGTTTAAGTATATAAATATAGTAGATGCATATGATAATAAGGTGACTTTCTTAAATACCTGGAGAGGGAGGGAGAAAAAGATAATGCTCTCTAAAAATCCCTCTCACTTTCCAGAAATGCATGGCAGAGACCCCCCAATTCCTTTACTACACACTTTAATCTGAATCATGCTAGTTTTATTTTAAGCAGGCTATTAAAGAAATCAAAGGATTATTAGCCAGGTCAACTGCTGATCCCTCCACAGACTCTTCTTTTTTTATTAAAAAGTTTTATAAAAATTACAATATAACCCACCCAACCCCCCCTCCCTCCCCAACTTCCCAGAGCTGAGTACAGGGTTACAAATATGATAATCATAATCTAACTAACATTAACCAATTATATAAATAACCAAGTCCATAATGCACTTTAACTCCCCTTTAACATAAATATAAACAAATTGAAAATAAACATAATAATGAAAACATAAACAAGTTAATATTCTAATTATTAAACAATACAATCTCCAAATTGTTAAACAATACTAATACTAAAAATAATAATATAATAATACTCTAAAATTCACTCATAAGCTAAATGAAACTTTTTAGTCCCATATTTATTCTGAATATAATTTATCCATCTTCTCCAAACTGAAATGTATCTTTCTTGTGAATGATCCTTCAAGTAAGCAGAAATCTTAGCCATTTCTGCTAAATTTAACACTTTAAGCGTCCATTCTTCTATAGTAGGCAAGCAATCCTTCTTCCAATATTGCCCTACTAGTAACCTTGCAGCTGTTATCAGATTCAACCTCCACAGAATCTTCTGTGTAGTTCTAATTACAATATATTCAAACTGCAAATGGACACACATAAGCAAGTTTTCAATATTCTTTTGAAATACTTACATACCAATTTAGAAATTGATTACGTATCTAGAATCATTTTGTTAGGATGAATAATCCTATTAATCCTCTTTAAGTGTCAGCTTAGCCTTGGATGCAACACTGATAGACCATTGCTTCCATATAAAAAAATCTCTCCACCACACATGCAGCCTGAACCACTGGTACTTCGGTGACTGTTGCACAAGCAATTTAATTAGAAGTACTTGGTTTGAGAAGACTCTGCCTTAATTCAACTCAGGAAGCACAGCAAATCCCATTAAAATTACTAGGATTTATTGAATATAATTTAGTTATAAAAGATATTAAGAGATATTTAGCTGAATTGTGGAAGTGTGTAATTGAATAGCAAGTCTTTTCAGAGGTAGTGGGCTCCACGGGATTCAGCTACACTTTCTTCAGTAGGGATGGATCTCTAGGCCTTAGATCAGGGGTCCTCAACCTTGGCAACTTTAAGACTTGTGGACTTCAACTCCCAGAATTCCTCAGCCAGCTGGCTGAGGAATTCTGGGAGTTGAAGTCCACAAGTCTTAAAGTTGCCAAGGTTGAGGACCCCTGCCTTAGATGGTAGGATATCCTTTTGTGTGAGGTGTGTGTGCTTGCACGGGTATTGACTCCTGGTGACTGGCTGGGCAGGTCCCTTCAGTTTCTTGGTAAGACTTGGAAAATGGTTTTCCATGGCCTCCTTCCTAGGACTGAGAGGGATTAACTGGCCCAAGGTCACCCAGCTGGCTTCATGCCCAAGATAAGCCTAGAACTCACCATTTCCTGGTTTCCAACCTTATGCCTTTAACCACTATATCAAACTGACTGTCAGAAGAGTATATCAGAAGAATACCCTTACGCTCTCTAAAAATTCACTTCAGTTCCACAAATAAGAAATTGCATCAATATTCTTAACTGCCTCTATATCTCATCCCCTCCAAAACATAGTGGAAGAAATCTTCAGTCAATTTAATCTGAGTGGGTATATGCTGGGAACCAATGTGAATTATTTGTATCTGGAAACTGCCAGGTGTTTTAAAAATAGGAGCACCCTCACATTTCTTGTAGTGAATCCTATAAATCTCGGGGATTGACTTGAGTCCTGATTTCTTCCCTCTCCCATTTACCTGAACCATTAAATCGAAGGCAGGATCATGCCAATTGGTGTGTCACTTCAGACTTGAAACTTTAGCCATTACTGTACAAACACATTTTATGCTTTCTTGAGAACTTTGTGCACAAACGCATTTTTTGTATTTTTGAATGGAGATAAATCCAAATTTGTAAAATATCCTTATCTCAATAGTTTAAGCAAAAAAAGGTTTTCTTAATGTTATGTCATTTAATTAAATATAAAAAGGGATCCTGAAAACTCGTTCTGAAAGTAGAAATTCCAAATTCCCAAGGCATAAACTATTCCTGTCCTTTCTTCCCAGTCCTTCAGTTTAAGAGGGGAAAAAAAGATTGTTCTCTAAGTAGTTATAGTACCCCTGGGAGAAGTATATATTGTAACCTTCGAAAGTTTAAGTACTCAGCATAATAGAAAAATGCTCCAAGACAAATCAAAATGAGCTGTGAATTACTTACTTTTTGAGAGAATGGACATTCTGATTTGTAAACGAAATTTTAAATCATCGAAATGTTTCTACTACACATACCATATTTTTAAAAAGTATTTTCCCCCTCTATTTAATAGCTTATTTTCTAGCTTTCTGAGTCTTCTGTGCAGAACAGCACGATCTCAGCTTCAGATCATCTCGGGCCCTTGTTTCTGTAATGACAAACCCGTTCTCCAGACTTTTTGAAACAGAGGAGCTGGTTCCAATCCAAACCTTTTCGCTGCTGTGAAATGGTGTATATTGTAATTTAGGAAAGATTCGGGTTACAGAGCAGTAATTCAGACTTTTCGTATTAGTCAGCTTGTTTGCAGGGACAGTGGTGGCTTTGCGCTGTCTTGGGTTAAGAGGCCCAGCAGAAGTGCTTTGATTTTTCTTCGTAATAATACCATTAATCGCACCCCAACCGATCCTTATTGTGATCTCTCTCTCTCCTCGGCCCTTTTCTTTCTAGAAAAGGAGGCAAGCGGCGTGCAGAAAAGCGAGGAGGGGAGCGCAGACGACCCGGCGAAGAAAAAGAAGCAGAGGCGCCAAAGGACTCACTTTACTAGCCAGCAACTGCAGGAACTGGAGGCCACTTTCCAGAGGAACCGCTACCCGGACATGAGCATGAGGGAGGAAATCGCGGTGTGGACCAACCTCACGGAGCCCCGAGTCAGAGTGAGCCACCTCCGCGGTCGCCTCTCCAGAGCTTTCCCTCTCCCCCCCCCTTCCTCCCTCCCCCTTGACCCAATGTCTGCAGATAACGCAAAGGTCACTATTTAGAGCTTACTCCGCCGCAGTCCTCAGCCCTTTCCCGGGGTGCGGGCTGTTTTTGAGCGGGCCTTGCCTAGAAGAGAGCAGAGCCCACCCCGTTCCACTGGGGAACCCCCCACAAATAAGCTGGGTCTGCCTCGGAGCCAGGAAGCCGGGAGGGAAAGCTGGTGGGAGCCAAAAATCTCCGGGCCTTACTGGCAGGCGTTTCCCTCCGGGCGGAGCAGGTTCGGGCAAGCTCTCCGCGTGGGAGGGCGGCGGGCGGCCCGCAGAATCGCTCTTTGCAGGCGAGCAGAAGACGACCCGGCACTGCAGCCCTCTCGGTGCAGCAAAGCGGCTAAGAACGGCCGCGCCGCGTTTTAAAAGGACGCCAGGCCTGATGAAGGCCCCGTTAGGGAAAGCGCAGGCCGTGTATCTTCTCCCTCGCTTTGCATACCCCGGATCTGAAACGTCTTCGGATTCTCAGGTCAGGAAAATCCCCCGGAACAAATAAGACCGACAATTATGCGAGTAAATGTAACGAGGAAAGCTCCTTGGGGTCGAGCAACATGCATAGGGGGCTCCAATACGATCAGACCTCGATTAGGGCGCAAGCAAGAGCCTATGGAGTTGCTGCTTAAATTCGGGCGTCTCCTCTCCCCGCATTTTTTTTTTTTTCGAAGAACCCATCTCATTGAGGTTTGCTTACGAATCAGGCTGTCCAAAGTGTCACTATGAGCTCACGTACTTTGAAGTAAGCTCGAGGATTACCGGTGCCTCCCCATTGCTTTCCAGCACATAAATGTATAGAGAACAGGGTGCAAAGTAGGGAGCTATTAAAAACAAAACAAAACCCCAAAGCAGCGAATTAAATCCAGCTTTAAGCTCTGCTTAAAGGCGGGCAGCTGAAATCAGTGTGCCGAGGTGCCTATCCGAACAGCTAAATCTCTTCTAAATAGGATTATTTCTCGATTAGTTGTTGGAGCCTTAATTATTTGTTGGGTCCAACCCTCTGGACACTCATTAAACGAGACTCCCAAAAATCCATCAAAGGAAAGGGCGCCCAACGCGTGCTCTTAAATCTCGGCTGCGCAATTCCGTGGCTGGTCGGTCCCGAGTGAAATTTCCCCGCCCTTTCAAAGCGGACCTTCCGCAGAACTGAGCGGAGGATCCAAGCCGGGCTTAAGTTTTCTCGGGAGAATGCCTCTAGATTCCAACCCCTGCAGTTTTCAAAAGCCAGGAGATGAGCAGATCTTGAATGGCAACCTTAATCGCAATTTCTGATGGGAAAAGATGCTTCTCCAAATGGCTTCAAATGCAACTCTCCAGCCTTCCCTCTACTATATCTTGAAGTAATAGCCTTGCTAAGAAAATGCTAACAAGAGTCACAAACCTTTCCACTTATTTATTCATTTATTTATTTGATAGCCTGGGAAAAACAGGAGTTGCCCAAAATAGACAAAAGTCACCCAAGATTTACTGTTTTCTCTGAGTTGATTATAACTGCAGCCATTTAATAACAACAGCAATTCTAGTTCATCTTCTGGGGGGGGGGAGGAGAGAGAGAACACAAGCCTCTGGGTAGGTGGGCTTTGTGAGTGCACTCCTTTTCATAGGAAGGGGAGATCTGTAAAAACAACAGGTTTTTTTTCCTGAAAAGCCGGGTGAAGAGGAAATTATTTTGATCCCATTTCCTCCTTGTGGAAACGGATAAGGAAGCTTCAGGAATCCCAGGGTTTTTTTCCCCTGGTTTCTATAGCTTTCTATTGGCTCTGACTATAAATGGGAAATTTCAGGAGAAGCCCTAATAGGAAAAGATTGGGAGCAGCTATATGTGAGCACGAGGTAAAAGGTCCAGGTTTCATGAAAATGGTTGATAAGAACTGAAAAAGAACCCTAAAATTCCCACCATGACTCACGGGTTGATCCCTCAATGGAGTTATAATAGCAGATGTTGGCTTTAAGCTTTGAATCCCAGACAAGGCCAATAGTGTAGCTATAAAACAAATGCGGGTATTGGGGATGATTTGACAGAGGCTTTGCTCTCTCTCTCATTCACACACACACACACACACACACACACACACACACACACACACACACGCATGTATCCAGCCAGTCATAAGCACTTTAGCATATGTCCTGTGAGATTAATAGGGCTTAATTTCAAGGAACTGTACCTAGTTCTGGAAGGAAAAAAAAATTCAATGAGCAAGTTAAGTTGCTATTTTATTCATGGTGACACTGAGTAACCCCATATTTAATGAGACTTTTACACTACAGAGTAGCAGTGTCAGTGTGCCTTTAACAGCATACATAGTAAAGACAGGAATGGACAAATTCAATTACAACCATGGGAAAACTGGTCACACAGGTACAAACAGGATTCAGCTCAGCTAAACTGTATTTGAAATGTAATGTTTTGTGCGCATCTAATCATTCTGATTTGTATTGTAGTTGTGCAGATGCATCCAACTGTGAATAATACAATAAACCGCAATAAAGCAAACCAGTTTACTGTGTCTGTGATGGACATAAAACCCAAAATTTGGGCAAAATTGTGCCCAGTAATGGAAGTAAATCATAGTGAATTGAAAGATTTTAGGTGTGTTGTTTTTAGAGAACTGTACAAGTGTAAGAACTGCACCAAGTGTTTAAAAATAACCAGGAAAGAGTAATTAAATAAAACTATTTGGGGGGAGAAGAGAGACAGGTATTTGGAATGATATTTAGCTACTTTTTAACAAAGACACACTGGTCATTTTAGTACTAACAGCCAGTTAGTATATATATAAATTGTTGTGCCCCTCAATTCATGTCAAGCTGAGATTATACAAGGATACATTACTACAATGCAATGGACTGATATATACTTGCGTATGAATGATTGTTGGGTAATAGTTTTTGTTAAAAATCAATAGACCTTCCAAATCATGGACAAGAGACAGATTAAATTCACCAGCAGATGGGATTACTTGAGATTCCAGAATCAGCTAAGGGTTTCTAGATAGACAAGGCTGCTGAGCTGATTGTCAGGGATTTCCTGCCTTCAATGGCAGGAATTGCTTAAGTTTGTTTCAAGGGATCCAGTGTCAGAAATAACCTGCAAGACAAACAGGATTGACACTTTATTAGTCATTCTCTTTGCTTGTTTTGTACCCTGGATTCTTGGTTTATTGGTTTTGGGTCTCTCTCCCTCAACTTCATAGTTTGCTTTATGCTTTCAGGAGGGCAAGTGAATCCTACAGCTGCTGAAGGTGTGAGTGTATTTAATTTCTATTGAGTTGTTGAATGCAGGAGTTCTTGATTTAATAGGTTCTAAATGGAGATCACCCTAAGGATATAACAATATTCCAGAGGTAAAAAGGTATTGAGGATTCCCTGTAATTTATTGGGGCCCATAGGAAAAGTGATCTACTGAAGTGTTATCCACGATCAGCCTGCAGTTACTGTAGCTTTTTTTATACCATAGATCTCATTAGATTTGAAAGGAAACCACAGCTTTATTAAGTCCACATAGATTGTTGTTGTCCTCTATTTAAAAGAAATATATGAGCCTCACATTTCACCCCCAAATGGAATATACAGAAATTTATCTTTGCCAAGAAGGCCTCACCAACCCCCCCCCCTCAAATACTAGCAGAAAAGCACACTTAAGTGGCTTTAGGGTGGCACCAGGCTGTAGGAAAATCAAGAAGTTCCTCATTAGTATCCTCTGCAAATTAGAACCGTAGCCCATTCCTGTATCTTTCAAACCAAAATTAAGTTCCACCGAGTTCCATGAAGTTTTTCTCCTTGAGAAAAAGCCAATCTTGGCTTCTAATCCTGCAGCTGCTTACTGAGAGGAAATTGGATCGAGATTAGAGTCTGCCCAGGACTTTCCTGAAACTTTGAGGGCAGAAGACTCATCCAAGCAGTTCTTCCATTCTCTTTGCTCTATTCTATGTATTTTCTTTTCTGCTCTATTCTCTGTACCTTGAAGTCAGCAGAGAAATCTAAAATGCTAAGCTTAGCATTATATTTCAGCTGATTAGTTATGCCGCCTTAAAGGAAAAATAGTAAACCATCTGATCCTTTCAAAGCCTGAACTATACTTATTCTGATGAGCTTACACTCAACATTGGGGGAAGGCAGGAGAGAGAAATTCCTCTTTTTAAAAAAGCCTTGGGGCTGCCCCTTAATGAAGCATTTTGAAAATTGCATGGCAAAGTGCTTTTATGATAAAAGATGGGGGGGACTTAGTATGCTGAAAAAAATGTGGCATTTTTCAGTGAAAACTAGAAAAATTAAAAACACTTCTAATCACATTTACCCCTCAAATCAATGAAAAAAATCTATAGAGATACACTTCCCCAAAGACTGCAGCAATGCACATTTTTGGTTAATTTTGGCACAATCCAGCCAAAAGCTTATATAATAAAATACAGTTGATGCCATTTGGCCCATTCTGTTCACCCCCAAATTATTCAGCATATGACCTAATTAATTGCTACAGGGTTAAAATCCTGCTGTGATCAATCGGGCTGTATTTTGTATTTTTGGCTGAAAATGTCATGGTACTTAATGAGTTTGCCCTGTAAGGAAGGAGCACGTTATACAAAGTTATTGACCCTAATCATTTAATGTGGAGGCCGGACTTGGCTTCAGTAGGGAAGGATTGCTTCCAAATTAAAGTAGAATGTTGGATATCTTCAAGTAGGGGGTAGACAGCCATCTGGTTGAGATGCTTTAATTTTGATTCCTCCATCAAGAGGTTCAATTCAATAGTCTACATCCCCTCCTTCAGCCCCCCTCCCCACTGTTTAAAGTAGGGAGAAATCAATAATTACTCCATTTCCTTCCAAATCTTAGCTCAAACTCTTCTGTAGTTGTATTTTTCTGAAACTTTAATTCAGTCAAATTTGCTAAGAGGACTTTCTTTGAAAATATCTAGAGGCAGCATTAAAATGTTTAGCTTCGGTTTTGGGAAATCCCTGTCTGGAAATGCTTTCTGAGAAGGGAATTACAGGCTGCTTTTCGGCTTTTTCCACGGTTTTTCTTGAGGAGTTTCAGTTAATTCTTCTTCCCCAACTCCTCCTTTTGCTCTTTCCTGTTGAAACTTGCATTTTTGTTTTCATTTGGGTAAGCCTTCCCCCAGACTAGCAAGCAGTTTGATCTGCAAACAACTTTTTAAAACACAGAATAGGCATCCACAATCCTGTGAGCAGAGCCTGACCTTAGTTGGGGTTAGGAATTACACAGCCAATTAAGTAGCCCTTGCTCTGTTTGTGAGAGCCAATTTGGTGTTGTGGTTAAGGCATCAGACCAGAGACTGAATGACCATGACTTCTATTCCTGCCTTAGGCAGAAAGCCAACTGGGTCGTTTTGTCTTTCTCTCAGCCCTACGAAGGAGGCAAGGGCAAACTACTTCTGAAAAAGTTTGCCAAAGAAACTGCAGGGACTTGTCCAGGCAGTTTCTGAGAATGGGACATAATTCAATAGAGTCCCTCCAGAATTACAGGGCCACTGCTTTGTTTTTTAGAGTGCCTTTAGTAAAAAAGCGTTCCCACAAAGGGGTTAGATTCCCAGTTTGGGTGGTTTTTGCTCCTAACGAAAGCTTTTTCCACTTGCTTGCCTTAGTTGGCAGCCAACTCTTATCAAAATCCTAATCTTACTAGTAAAGCAGGCAGTTCCACTGGCCATATTTCCCCCAGGTATCACGTGGCTAAAGATCTACTGCTCTTTGAAGAGGTGGAACCAGTGCAATTGAGACTGCATCCAGCCTCGGGTTATGAATGAGGTATTTTTCCAGTGTCTTTGAATCCCTGGATTTTTCATGAAAACAAATTGAAAGCCTTTCCTAAAAATTACTTTTCCAAAGATTGCATCAGCTTCTCTCCTCAGACCCCAGGGCATCTATACTGATTCTCTTTTCTAGCAGCAGAACTGTAAATACTGAACATTCAGTGTAAAGGCAGATGCTGCTTTTAATGAAAGGCAAAAGATGCATAGGACTGGCTGGCTGTGTCTAATTTCCAGAAATAAGGAATTTTTGTTCGTTTGTTTGTTTGTTTTGAGTTGGATAAAGCCACCAGGATCAGTCTTGAGAGCAGCAGTTTGGGAATGAGGTTTGGCCAGAAAGTGGTTAATGGAAGGGAAACAAGTAAATGAAATCCAGAGATCTCGAACAGGAAACAAAGGAGATGCCAAATCAAGGCAGCAATCTGTAAACGGGGATTTCTCAAGGCCCCAATCGCAAAATGGAAAGGCCATCTCCAGAGAGAAATGCCAGCTATCCATCTAACTAAATGCTATATGGGGCAAATGCTTTGGAGATAAAGGGCAGCTATGGAAAACATTAATGAGATGTCTTTTTCCAGGACAGCCTGCTAAAGACAGGGACTTTCTTTAAGGTGAAAATTTCTTTCATGGGGAGTTGCTTTTCATGGTGGCTAGGACTGACAAATTGAAGACTGGAACATTTGCAGGGCACCAATCTTATCCCCACTTTAAAGACTATCCTCTTAAAGTATTAATTCTTATTAATATCAATATTAAAATCTATCCTTTTTAATCACACAGGACCATGCATTTATAAGCTGTGATAGCAGCAAATACCCCAAATAAGCAATTAGAATGATTTGCAGTCTTTTCTTACTAGAGCAAAAGGGCAGATTTCTCATAGCTTACAATAAAGAAGTTCCAGAATGTTGCATAGGATTAGGCTGAAAAGAGGTAGGAAGAGTGGTACCTTTTTCCTATTGACTCCCCAAAAGCAGATTGAAATATTAATTAATGTGCCTGCTTGATGTATTGAGTAATGAATACGTTAGTGCATTTTTATTATATTTTGATAGCTTTGATCTGATTGCAATCAGAGTTTTGCTTATAGCTCTCCCAGCCCAACCCATCTAACAGGGTTGTTGTTGTGGGGAAAATAAAAGGAGGGTACTTTGGATATATTTGCCATTGCATTATTCATAAAAATAATAAAGGTGGGAAATACATACATACATACATACATACATACATACAGTACATACATAAAATAGCTGCTCCAGAAAGAGTAAAATCTGGACTTTAAGAAATCCAGTAATAAATAAATTGATCAGAGGTGGTGAGAAACCTTCTCAAACATTCCTTGTTGCTACAGAACCTTTTAGGAGAAAGCTCAAAACATCAGAGGGGTGAATTGGCTGAAGAGACAGTAGAAATTTAGACAGAAAGAATGGTGCAACAGAAATCCATCATGTTTATAGCAGTCCATCTATCCTTTAAGTCCCCATCTCTATAGATAAAATTTTTAAGCTAATATTACCTATCAACACAAGTTACCAGGTAAGCTTTAGGCACCAAACTTACGTAATTTAAATTTCAAGTGGCTGAACCCCAGAATGTATTTTCAGTTCCAGGTCTTAGCTTAGGTCATGAGAACAAAGATGCCACTTTGCCTTAGATTAGTAGAACCAACTCTGTGTAGGGTCGAGAAAGAAAGATGGGCTATTCAACACCTCTTATTTCAGAAAGAAAATGCTGAACAACTTTTCCATTAGGTTCCCTTACCTTCCAAGTTATTGTACTGTATTAAGTTTTGAGAAAAGATCCAGCAGAAGATTCCTTAACTAACCCACAGAGACACTCTGAGTCATGCTGATCAGTCTATAGATCAGGAATCACTAGCCCCTGGGCTAGTGGGCACCCTTGGACTCTTGGGGGGGGGGCAAAGAATACTGTGTCTTTGTTTACTCTTCCTCAAAGCCTCCTACAAAAGATTGTCTCCCCCCCCCAGCAGCATTTCCAAATGGGCTGCAGCTGCTGACCGTTTTTATTTTGTATACAGATGGGAGAAGCATTCTTAGAAATTAAGACATAATGGAGATGGGCAATTTACTTTGCAAAATGTCAGCTGTCAATTTGACCATTGATTTTTAGTGATCCCTTAGAAAGATTTTCTCCATTGATCTATCCCCAATCTGGTCCTTCAGCTCTTTACTACTGTGACCCTAACCGCCTTGAAGCTAGCCATCCCCTTCTTCTTTCTTTTAAAGTAACGATAATAAAAACTAAAGAGGAAGTGTGGCCATACCATTGGCTGTGTGAGCCCTTTGGAGCCCACAGTGCCATGATGAGGATGCCATTTCTGTCTGGAATCTTTAATCAACTCTCTTAATAAATGATTGGGGGATTGCTCTGTTTCTTGCAATAATGCCTAGGCAAATCTCAAGCTCACTGGAACCTTGTTTTTCTTTGAAATCCTTCATTGCATCCTGAAAGAGCCCCATTTGAACACAAAAATTCCAAGTTCATGAATTTGCTTTAGGTGTCTGAGCTTGAAGGGAGCTCTCGGTTCTTCTCTATGAAGATGCACCTCTGGTCACCCAAAACTTTATTCACTGCAACACAGGGCAGGTGGGTAGAAAAACAACCACACAGCAAAATGTCCAACAACCACAGCAAATGATTTCCAAGCAAATCACCATTTTTTAAAATCTTATATCACATAGAGAAAGGTGAAATCTTCCTCCACTCCACTCCTGGTGAAGTTTCCTTACCAACATTACTGCACCAAAATCATTTGCCTTTGCTTTCTTCTAGGACGTTTTTTTTTTTTTTCCATCTTTCCAGTCTAGTCCATGCAGTGGTCTTGAAATATCCGGGTGGTGGTCCCATTTCCAAGAACTAACCAGGACCAGCCTTGCTTAGCTTCCCAAATAACCAGGCCGTTCAGATTGTATGATGGGGTTCTCAGAGTTCCAGTGTGACTTCTTAGATGTCCTCAGGTTGTGTCTAATAGATAGCCATCTATCTATTAGGGACCACCTTGGAGAAATCCTCACTATGCTTGCTAAGTATCACCTAGAGAGACAGCTGGACTATGGGTGGGCCTCCCCCCCTACTTTAACCTAGGCAGACAGGTGCTAATTTTAGGCAGGCAGTCCCCTCTTAATGTCTCCCTCGCCAGCGGGGGCAAGCAGAGACTCCGCGCAGTGCTGGTGGCCGTTTCAAGCCTCCGGGCCCCTCTTTGTCTTTTCTTGCCCCTTCCCCGCAGGTCTGGTTCAAGAACCGGCGCGCGAAGTGGCGGAAGCGGGAACGCAACCAGCAGATGGACCTTTGCAAGAACGGCTACGTGCCGCAGTTCAGCGGCCTGATGCAGCCCTACGAGGACGTCTACCCGGGCTACCCGTCCAACTACTGGCACGCCAAGAGCCTGGCGCCCGCGCCGCTCTCCTCCAAGAGCTTTACCTTCTTCAACTCCATGAGCCCGCTCTCTTCGGCCCAGTCCATGTTCTCGGCGCCCAGCACGCTGCCCTCCATGAGCATGCCCTCCTCCATGGGCCCCTCGGCCGTGCCCGGCGTGGCCAACTCCGGCCTCAACAACCTGAGCGGCTCGTCCCTCAACACGGCCATGTCGACGCCCGCTTGCCCCTACGGCCCGCCGGGCTCTCCCTACAGCGTATACAGGGACACTTGCAACTCCAGCTTGGCCAGCCTGAGGCTGAAGTCCAAGCAGCACTCGAACTTCGGCTACGGCAGCCTGCAGAGCCCCGGCTCCACTCTAAACGCCTGCCAGTATAACAGCTGACCGGCCTCCGCCTCCTGAAAGGGACCGCGGCTGCGCTCAGGGGCAGGGAAACACGCCGGAGGAGGAATGGGGAGGACGGACCGACGGACGGGCAGACGAGCCATGGCTGGCGAGGAGAGAGAAAGAAAGAGAGACGGGCCCGATCGGACCTAAAACACAGGGATGAGTTGCAATGTTTTGTGTTGTTGTTGTTGTTTTTCTCCTCTGGATGATGCGGGTTTTGTATGCGTGTTTACTTGAACTTGCACAGGACTTTTCCTTCTAAACGATCGTCCACTTTATACGACCAGAAGATACGGTAACGGTGGAGGCGGGCGGGTGTCGAGGGGAACCGGGGGGGGGGGGAGAGAGAGAGAGAGAGAGAGAGAGAGAGAGAGAGACGGAAGAGTGACGTTGCTGATTAGCTCCGAGCGCCCTTCGGGTGGGGCTCCCTTCGGTGAGGAAAGGAGGCGGGGCTCCAGGTTCGCCCCTTCGGGCCGGGCTGGGCGGGGCGGAGATCGTTCGACGGGGAGGCGTCGTCGGTGCAAATCTGAAGGAAACCCTCCGAGCCAATGTGGCACCAGCAGGGCGAGCCGCTACTACGAGGCTATGTTTATCTTCGCTTTACCGGTGAATAGGCGGTTGTTCTGCAATGTGTGACTCTCGATGGGATTTGTTTCTCAAGCTGAAAGCGTCGGGGATCCTACCATTCCTAGCACTGCAGTTCGCGGCTGAAAAGGTTCCTTTTCCTACCTCTCATTCTTTACTAAGACTGCAGCACGGTACCCCTCTAGTCTCTCTACAAAAAAGAAACTTTATAAAGACAGCCCCCCCCCACCTCCCTTTCAGAGTCTTACCCTGATAATCAAATTATCGTCCGTCCTTATTTAAAGGATTTTTTTTAATTTAAAAAATGAGAAAGGAAAGAATTCTCGTAGAGAATCTAGGGGAAATATTAAGAAAGAAAAGACAGAAAAGGAGCATCAGAAAATACTGCCTCTTAAATAAAGGAGAGGAATGGGTAAAATAAATATGGGGCGTGGGGGGGGGGAATTAAATTACTTTGTTTCTCCAGTTTTGGATTTAAATAAATCAATACAAGCAAGAAACCCAAACAAGAAATCTTTAAAAAGATGTTATGTGTTAAGTGTAGATAATACTTAAAAGGATTTTTTTGTTGGAAAATTTTAAAAATATGAAAATGATTAATATCTTTAAATATTAATACGCATACAAAACACATATGAAGTTTTCTCGCAGACATACTTGTTGCTTCTTCCTGTTGATACTTATTACCTGTAGATGACAAAGAAACATAATATAAATGCACAAGGTACTTCTTTCCCAGTGTATCCCCACCTGTGATAACCGTTACGCTGGATGTTTCAATAATGCTGTTGTGGAGGATGCAGTATATATATTGTTTTATAAGTTATGTTTTCGTGATTTTTTTGAAAATTAAGAGCATGGGAATAAAAAAAAACCTCTTCAACCTCTTCGTCTTCCTTTCTAGCTACATTACTATCTAGATTGCCCTTATTTGATATGGAACTCCACAGATGTATTTAGATTATAGTTCCTATCATCCACAGCCTGTATAATCATGTTGGTTGAGGATACTGGGACTGATAGCCCAGCATAGCTTCTATTGATGGAAGTTCCTAATTGATCTAATTGAAAAACATACCAAACAATTTTTTGAGAATATTTTTCAATTATACTTTAATGCTATAATTTGATACTTTCAACACATGCAGACCTAAAAAGATCTCAAACAGTAAACATTACAGTGAGACAGGTTAAACAGAAATAAAATGATAGTGTTCATCAAGTAAAACACTGTCACGATGACTTCTTATTTATTATTTATATATTAAATTGCATATCTGGCCCATCTTGCTGCCAAATAACTTTCACAGTGAATCAACCTACTTGCAGTTGAAACCCATAGATTTCATTATGAGGTTGGATGCCAAAATACTGACTTCTCAAGGATTTTTCCTTCAAACTCAAAAAGAAATAAATCCAGTATTTGTCTCTGGAACTAACCCTTTCTAATCTCTAAAATAGAGTCCAGTTTGAAAGCCCCAAAAGAAGTGTAGGGAAAGGTGAAGCAGAGGTATTCCAGGGCAGATGGCTCTCCAGTTCCGTTATTATGTCACCTGATCACACTTTTAGCAGAAGACAATGCATGCAGTGGCTCCACTGATTGTGTATGTAGATTTTCAAAGTTCCTTATCAAGTGCTCATGAGTAAACTTAGCAGAAATTGGAAAAGAGAACTTGTCCTGTCATGGATTGTTAACTGGTTAAAAACAGAAAATAGACAGAAATAAATTATATATATAAATTAAATATTTTTTTTAAAGCTCTAAAGTGACATTCTTCAAGGATTTGTGTCGGGACTGGGGCTTAATCAGAAATTATTTTAACTTATGGCCGAGCACTGAGATGGCCAAGTTTAAAGATAATACAAAATATTCAGGTTAGTAAAAAACAAAAGGATCTGTGTAAATATATTGTATAGTCAACTGTATAGCAAGTGCGGTTCAATGTACAAAGAGTTGCACATTGGACAACAACCCCCATCCCCATCAAACACTAATTTCATGTATGGATGGGATTTGAATTGTTTCTGAGCAATTAGGAAAAAGATTATGAAGCCATACAGGATAGCACAAGGGCTCATAATAACTGCAAATATATGGAACTTCATTGATTCCAATCCCCATATGAAGGTGTTCCTGTTTTCAAATTAATTTACCTATTAACACATGCTAGTAAGTCAGACTTCCCTAATCTTGATTTAATCATACAACATGCAAAGTTTCCATCTAAAAAATTATCAGATTTTGCCAGGATATTTTCAGAAAAGGAGCTTCAAGCTGTATGCATCTAAATAATTTTAATTCCCTCTATTTAGTAAACATCTCAGAATCTCCTTCAGATATTTGTATACTATTGCCAGTGAAAAATTCATACTAGAAGAAAATTTAGGTCAGAATTGAATTGGGGGGCCCTTGGTGCTCTCTGAGCTTGATAGGTTATATAAAAAAAGGATCCCACAGAAAAATTCATAGCTAATCATTTCTTCCCAGTGAAAACTAAAATTTATTCTTGGTGAAAAACCCATAGCTAAAATTTATTCCGCATGCCCACTGCTATGTTGTGCTTGACAACTACTGGATTTCCTAAGGAAAGTAAGAAAGGAAATACTCATGTTTTAAATTAATGTAAATCAGAGTGTTATTCTCAAGGGAGTTGTCTTAATATTGAACATGCTTACTCGGGAGTACACATCCTTATGCCATGATAAAAGAAAATATTTTAAAAGTTCAAATAAGAAACTAAACCTTTGCAACCATGCAAATCCTTGATTGGTCACCCTCCAATTATCAATATGGTGAGAAGATGAGGAAGAAAGAGAAGGAGGTGAAAACACTGGACTGACCAATGGCAGTCCGGGCTAGAGGAGAAGTCGAAGTCAAGGCCTCAACCCACCTAACAGGTCCAAAACAGAGTGACTGTTTTTTGTCTTTGGGCTACCCTTTTCCATCTCTGCCCAGTCTTTGAAACAACACATTTACAATACACTGAATAAATTGTTTTGTTTTGGGGTTGTTGTTTTTTGTTTCAAACAATATTTTTTTGTGGAGGATCTAGATCAGTGTTTCTCAACCTTGACAATTTTAAGGCATGTGGACTTCAACTCCCAGAATTCCATAGCCAGCAATGCTGGCTGTGGAATTCTGGGAGTTGAAGTCCACATGCCTTAAAATTGTCAAGGTTGAGAAACACTGATCTAGATCCACAAGTTGCAGTCCCAGAGCATACCCTTCACAATATTGTCTGCAATCTTACCGTAAGGCGCATGAGATAGGTGAGATTGTTATTTCTGAAGGGTGTTTGGGACTGGTGGAGAAACAAAGGGAGAATCTTTTCTATGCTTCCCATTAGCCCACTCTAAACCATACATGTCCAGGCATCTTTTCTCCCTGGGGAGTTCTAAATGCGTTCCTTGGGATACACCCAGCTTAGTCAGCATGTTTTTGCAGGAATCCTTTGGCATACAACACTTTCTCCACTTCTGCTGGGGAAGGCTGCAGTTTGGTGAGGGTTTCTGTGAAGGTGTTGAAATAGGATCCTATTTTAGGGCAGTGAGTGATGTGTTTGTGAATGTTTTTTAATAATAACTCTTGGTTCCATGAGCAGTGAGAATCCACCTTAAAGCAGAGAGAGGGTTAAGAAAATTATTCTGGTTAGGTTAACAGATGCATTAAGATACAGAAACAGATACAGAAAGGAAAGAGGAAGTCTTCTTCAAAAATAATCTGGGAATTCAAAAGAGCAGAAGTCAAAGCAGCATCCATTTTTACCAGTTAAGCAGAAGAAAAGCACAAAGCCATGAGGAATGTGAGCAGAGTAAGTAGCAACAATAAAAGTTTTCTTTCTGAACAAAATCAATTACAAAGAGGAAGCCTGCCAAAGAATTACTATAGTTCTTTTTAGACCACCCAGGTGTAAGTGTTGTACTTAAACAACATTCAGAATAAAAAGTGAATTCTTTTACTTCCACAAAAGCTGCTTCTTATTTTTCAATTAAAGACTTAAATAAAATAGCCTGAGTTTACACCTCTCTTCTTAGTTTAACATGCAAAAACATATTTCTATGCAGAGGAAATACTAATGTTATGCAAGAGGTAATTAATATAATGGTTATTTTTTTTTTTAAAAAAAAGACTAATGAAAAGTTCTCCAGATTCTGTAAATAACTATACTTGTATTCTGTACCAAACAATGTTTGCATACATATCTGCTTAATACGTGTCCTTATCCTTAAAAAAAAAAAAAAATCTCAAGAAAAAGAAGACTCAACATGTGGATCTGGATGTTATGTTATAGATGAAGTGAATAGTTCATTCCTTTGAAAAATGCCTGACTTGGAAGCCTTGTCCTTTCTCACTAAATATTTGTGCTGATGGATAACTAGTGCTAAGATGGAAAAAGCTGCCATATTATAGTGCATCCCTATATTGTGTCATTCCACATGCACAACCTTGATCTGTATCCTCCATTCACACAGATACCATGTTTCCCCGAAAGTAAAACCTACCCTGAGCTTGATTTTTGGCGGTGGGGCTAATATACGCTCTATCCCCAAAATAAGCCTCAGTTTGGGGGCGAGGTACACGCCTAAAAATCAAGCTAGGGTGGGGGGGTGGAGCTTTCCATTGCAGCCAGGCCTCCCATGGATCAACACTTGCCTCACCGGCCCACTTCTTCTGCAGCCAAAGGAGCAGCTTCATTCTGCAGCTGAGAATGGAGCTCTGGCCTGCATTTCTCAGTCAGAGGCCTTTCTGGAAGGCCTCTGCAGCTGAGAACTGAGCTATGGATTCAATCCCATGGAGCACTGAAATGAACTGCAGTAAATGTCTTTGATTAATCAGCAAGGAACTAAAGAGGATGGAACGTTTTATGGAAGATTAATTTAAATCCATTCTAAAGTCCATTCTGAGTCCCAGAGTAATGTATATATTCATTAACACGCATAACTATAGACAATTTATAACAGTACAAAATTATTGAAAATCAATAATCCTAAAATAAAAAATGACCCAGCAGTGGGAGAATGGATAACAAATAGTGAATAATTATGCAATCCTATACTTTTCTTCCTACAGAAGTAAATTCAATATTATGAGACATTTCTTGTGGGAAATGATCTTGTGGTTTCATCTTCAGTTTAGTGTTGAAGATTGTGTTGAGGATAAAATATACAACAAAATAGATTTTCTTTAATTTTAGCAAGTTGGACTGACTTGTTAACTATCTGTCCTTTACACAAGAAAACATTATTTTTAAATGGAATTTTCATATGTTTTGTAGATTTTTAACTACTTGCTCTCTAACACATCTCAACTTTTGCTGGTTAAAAAAAAAGAGATAGAAGCAAATCTTCTTGAACAAGTTGTGATCTTTCATTTTGGATCCTCTTGTCTCTAAAATGAAAACAACTTCCTGCTTACCAAAAGGCTGTTATAAAAACAAACATATTATAAAAATTGGTAATTTGGAAGCTCAGAGTTTATGGAGTATATCTAAGTGCACATTTAAGTTGCATATATCTAAGTTACAGAGTATCTGTAATAATAACATAAGCTTTTTGGAACAGTTGCTACCAAATATAACAATAAATTAAACATTTTTATTGCCAGAGGACAATTTTCTTCTACCAAAAATCTTGCTTATAATGAAACAAGAAGAAAAACAGCTTTGGATGGCTATCTTTGCACAATTATAGACACACAAGTGAGTGCCTGATCTATTCGGGAAGAAATTAATAATTTCCCACATGAGGTACAGTAGCAGCTTTCTGAGAGATACAACTAGGGTGGGGAGACCCCCCTAGTGGAAACTGGAGGAAAAATCAGCTAATAAGAGACAGCTAATAAGAGGTCTTGATTTAAGACATTTGGAATGGGAATATGCTGGT